AAGGTTTTGTCATCATCATCATTTGTACCTGATGATGACAAAACCTTGTCGAAACGTTGTACATTTGCTGTCATGTTAAACTTGTATTAAAATTTTTCTTCATTACCCATTTAAGCCGTCTCCAGCCATATTTAAGATGAGTGTTTTAAACTTCTAAAAAAAGGGCTTATTTTTTGTAAAAAGGGACATTTTAAAATATTTTATATTGGCTTCTGAGATGTTAGTTTAAATATCAAATAAAATAATAATAGACTGAAAAATGGAAAAAAAATGACGCAAAATCAAATCATCTTAAAATTAATGGTTTTTCTATTTTACTTACTTTGAAATATTATTTACTTCAACTAGTAAAACCTGTTAATTTTGGTACACAGTATACACTGTTATTCATTATTTTTACATAGAATTTGCCCAAACATTTGAAAACGTACTTGAAACTATAGTGAAAAACTCGCATATTCCGGTTTACAGCAATGAAACAGGAGTAAACGTTGTATTTTTGGTTTTAGTGCCGACTCAATGTGATCAGCATGATGTGATGTGCCTAGATGGCAGCACATGTATTAAACCACTAGACATCTGCGACGGAAACTACAACTGCCGTGACCGCAGTGACGAAGTTGGATGTGGTAAGTTATCTATAAAGTTACTTAAAACAAAGTCTACTGATAATGTTAATGTTACAATAGCATCTATAAAGTTACTTAAAACAAAGTCTACTGATAATGTTAATGTTACAATAGCATCTATAAAGTTACTTAAGACAAAGTCAACTGATAATGTTAATGTTACAATGTGGCTGCTGTAGAAATGGTGATGAGGTAAATGTGATAAGAAATTAATGCGTCAAAGCTGTTACATAAACCGGTATACAGAACTATATTATTAAAACATTATAAAACACCAAACAAAATTCATTTCTAAGATAGCGCTTCGAGCAATCGCCGTTTTTCGTATCTATTGCGTTGCGATAAAACGATCTTAATGGCTTACAGGACAAAGGGCATTGTACAGTTTTAAACAAAATAGTCAAGAGAGAAACAGAAAAATGTATTTACTGAGAATAAAGTTGCATAAGCAAAACAGAAATAAATACATAACGTACAACAGTCTATAGAAACACACACACACACACACAAATGAATATTAACATGTATTACAATAAATAGGATTTAATAAAGTGTAAAACTTACTGCCAACTTATGATCAAGGAAATACAATAGCTTGCAACAGTTACTTAGTGAAAATAACAAAAATACAGTGATTTAACAAGATTTAAAATATTGCATGTGTTATGTTAGTACATAATTGTATATACAGATAATGTTATATATTTACATACGCATTTATACACACACATATACGAAGGCAAAACAGAGCACACAAGAAAAGAACATTACGAAAAGGAAATTTTAAATAAAAATTAGGAAGAAAATTTCAAGAACAACCAATGTGTTTGTTTAATTTTTGAGATACTGACTTGTAGGAAATATAACCGCCTATATTTTTAATTGACGACTTAGTTTCAACACAATACGTAAACTTGCGTAGTTTAGATCATTTAGAAAGTATTTGTAATGTATGCGTTGTTCAAAGTATTTCTCTTATGCAAACCGGAGGCGTAGGATTTTCACCCTGAATTGTTTGTTTATTTCTTTCTTGTTTAGTGCAAAGTTACATAATAGGCTATCTGTGGTGTGCCAATCACGGGTATCGAAACAAGATTCTTAGCGTTATAAACATAGGCAGCGAGTAAGTCCTTTGTTAGGGGTAGGCTATTCTGCCACGCGTGGGGGTTTGCACAATTGGGAAGATTGTTTGTTTGTTTGTTTTGAATTTCGCGCAAAGCTACACGAGGGCTATCTGCGCTAGCCGTCCCGAATTTAGTAGTGAAAGATTAGAGGGAAGGCAGCTAGTCATCACCACCCACCGCCAACTCTTGACCGTAATATTATAACGCCCCCACGGCTGAAAGAGCGAGCATGTTTGGTGGGACGGGGATTCGAACCCGCGACACTTATTTTTGAATGTTCATCTTTATAACAACTCAAAGATGTAACTAAATCGAATTTTCTAGCAGTTTCGTTTGCATTATATGTCTCCCTGTGGATCAGTGATAATTTTACGGACTTATAACGCTAAAGTTCAGGGTTCGTGTCCCCGGGGTGGACAAAGCGCAGGTAGCCTATTATGTGGCTTTGCGCTAAAACAAACAAAACCCAACTATCTATAACAAACTGGCCATTGTTTTATCACTGTTTTAACATGTTCCCTCAGAGTGTGAATCGAGCGCCCTAACCATCTGGCCATGCCGTGCCACAATTGGGAAGAATCGAGTCGTGATGCTAAATAAATAAACTCTTCTCAGTGACTCACATACACCATTGTTCGATCGTTAATGCTCCGTGGGGGACGGTTTATTTGGAGTGGCCATGCCGTGCCA